TGTAACAAGGACACCTTAAAATAAAGTGTTACCATATATTCCATTTATTGTAATTAACAACATGAAGTGTATTAAACATATTACATCAAGGTTTCCCAAACTGGGGTTCGTAAAGGAACTGGCCTGCAGGGGGTTTGGGAGTTTAATGAAGAGCTAACAATGAATTAAATCATAAATCATGTAAAATTTAAATAAATAATTTTAAAATAACAAATTAAAACACTTACTAAAAAATGAAATATTTTGTTTACCTGCATGCCATATGGCCATTAACCAATGTCAGAGACCTGTGAACACGCAAATACTTAATTATTAAAATATTTATTTTAAAATCTTAGGGGAACTTCAAGGGGTCATTGATTATGATTTCACCTTTTAAACTTTAGTCAATGTGTAATGTTCCTTTTTGAGCATAAACAACATCTGCAAAGTTCAATGCAAAGGGAGGCATTTTCTGTTACAGAATTAGCTTTTTAAGGCCTACAACAAACGGCTGGTAGGGACTACAACGAGCTTCTTCCGTGGTTTGTGATATCACAAACCCTAACATTTACATAAACCCTGCCCCTGGGAGCACACAACCACAACACACTGGGCCAGCTGACCAATCTGAGCCCATTGCGTATTTCTGAGGAATCTGTAAAAAAATAAAAATAAAAAAAACCTGTGACATTTACGGTAAAATACCGGCTTAACTTCACCGTTAAAAATATGATAGCACCATTTTAGGTTTTACAGACTTAACTTAAATTCACAATAAAATACCGTATTTGCACAGTGCCATTCACACAAACACTAAACACCATCATGGTAACACACATGATAATGAAATAATGCAGTAAACATTAATTTAACAACATTAGATGTAAGATAAAACCCTAATGTTCACAACTAATAAGAAAAAACTAAGAAGAAACATAGTTATTTCAATGAAAAACATCAAATATGAAGTGTCATGCAGGGAATTCTGGGAGCGTCAATTTGCGGTTTTTCACTGTAAATTATACAATTACTTTTTCTTTTTCACTTCCAAAAAACGTAATATTAACAGTATTTTACTGCAAAATTACATTAAATGTAATTAAAGTTATTCACCGTATATAGTATGGAACGTTACTGATAACCAATTAACAGGTTTTTACTGTAACATATTTACAGTCTTTTACTGTTAAAATCACAATCATTATTTACAGTGAAGGGGCTTCATAGAACCAGGAAGTCAGCAGACCGCTTTTAGGAGAATGGAAACAGCTGTAAAATATATGAAAAACAATGCAATTTTTTTGAAAACGAAGCATGAACACGTGTTACAGTGCCCCCCATAAACACACTCAAGCCTTCGAAAACGGCTGGTTGACCACCCCTTTAAAGTAAATACATTAGGTGGAATAGGTTCAGATGACAAAAAAGTTTGGGAATGTGTGTATTACATGTAAATAATGACTTTGAAAGACAAAAGCTTTTCAATAATACATGGTTAAATAACCTACCGATTGATAATTCAACTAAAAATGACTGTTCAACAGTAGTTAATGCAGTGTTGAAACACTTCTACCTCAAATGATTTTTGTAAATCCAACGGTCAAATGCTGTGCAGCCACATGACTAATGACTGATCTCTGTGTAAATGCCCACAGAACTGGACTTTCTGAGTGTATATAAGCAGCAGGCTATTTTAGAAAGGAAAATTTCAAAGATGAAAAAGAGGAATTAGGGAGAATCAATCAATTATGAATAGTTTATTGCTATTGTGAATAATATGTAATCATGTAATCTATAAAAAAGTAGCCTAACTGTAGTCTGGTTACGAGTATTTTAAAATGTAATTTACTCTAATTACAAGTACTTAATTTTTGGAATCTGATTACGTAATCCAGATTACATGTAATCAGGCACTACCCAGCTCTGCTTGTAGGCTATAGTTTAGTAAGCAGTCAGTGTCGACAGAAAAGTAGAACAAAACTGAAGTTCGTTTAACAAATATTTCCACGGTTGACTGATGGTGAAAAAAAAAACATCTTAACATTTTGACCGGCATGGCTCATATGATGACAAAAACTTTTTTCATTTAAATTTTTTTTCAATTTACTGTCACAATAACTAGGTTTTGAAGCATGCATTAAATGTTTTCGGTGAGTTCCTACGTTTAGTTGTTATTGTGTAGAGTGGTTTAATCTCCAGTAGAGAGCAGTAAAGGATAAGCAACCATTAAACCTTCAATGATTCAACAAAAACATAACTACATCCCACATTAGTTTTATGCAGCGCTGGTATCATATGACACATTTTTATCTGTTAAAATGTACATTGACAGGAATAGTAGAGTAGTGTTGGGATAGTGGCGCACGAGTTTGGCTGTAGTTTTGTCCAGATGTGATTCCAGAAATGGTGAACTGAATAGGCCTAGGTTTTTATTTCCATGCAGCCACAGGTGTCTAAAACATTCTCTGTTTTTCATGAAATCGCGAAAAAAGGGAAATGAAAACACACGATATTGCTCGATGTTAGGCAAGGGCCCGTGTCAGCTGAATCGGGTCAAGAGACTTTGGTATTGGGGAACAACCTCACGCCGGAGGAAAGCTCTTTCAGAGGAGTTTGCAGAGAGAAGTGCTCCAGTTACCCTCAGATTCATTTCCTTTTTCCACTGCTAAATAACGGACGCATGCACCTCGAACTTCAGGGGAAAAGTGCAGTGACCGTGTAACATTTATAACAGCACTGTCACGGTTCTCTCAGGTTCCTCTCGTACAGCTGCCGTGAGAAATAAAGGACAGATTGAGTGCAGAAACTCAAACACCTGTTCAAAAAATGTTATAGCACTGAAACTGCGGTCTCATAACCAAAATCCCACTCATATGGTTGACTTTTGTCACTAATGATTCCAATTTAATCATAGTGTTGTTCAATAAAATAAAGCTGAAATTTGAATTTAGATGTTTATTGAATGAGTATAGACTTGATTACACTTTAATGTATTTATTGCTAGGCATTTACAATCACTAACATTTAACGCCCGTCTCCTAGGACTGTTTAACAGCATGAAAAATGTACTTAAAGGGATAGTTCACCTCAAAATAAAATGTATTCATTATCATGAAATGCATCCAAATCTGTATGACCTTCAGGATAGAACACAAAATACGATGGATGTCTTTTTCTTAATACAGTTAATGCCAGTGGGGTCCAAATGGAGTGTTTTGGGCCCCATTGGTTTTGCTGTGAAATTGGCCCCAAACAGAGTGAACATAACGATTTAATTGAAATTAGGCCTACTGTTATTGTTTTTTTTAACAGTACAGTCTTAATTGACTAGGTTTAAAACATTGCCTACTTGGAAGAAGAAGAAGAAATAATAACCAGAGTAAAACTAACATGAGTCAAGGCTTAAAGCATATTTGTCTGCAGGCCTTGAGGTAAATCACTGTGGCCTGATTTACAACTCATGATTACACAGAAGGGCGGATTGTAGTAACAAAAGTCATTCCATTGTAATCTGAGTGTTAAGGTGCGGTCATTTTAGCGAAATTTCAGCAAAATTTACCGTGCAAAAACAGTTCCATTGTCTACTGTAAACAGTGTGATGTATCAAGCACATTTCACACAGAAGTCACCTTAAAAACAAGCAGATTTCTGTCGTTTACCGCGATGAATACGCGTGAACACCTTGAACACGAGCGACATCTGCGTGGGGAAGTTTTTCGCGCCCATTTCTCCCGGAATGACTGGATTTCGCCAAACAACTGTAAATGTGAACGCAGTAATTATACAACATGCTGTAGGCTATGTAGTTCAAGGACTTTCCTCTTTACCTTTATAGTACAATGTACACAACAGCTGACGTAGGCCCTATACTTTTTGATAAGCTATTACGATCACAATAAACAAGGCCTTTGAGTCTCTTAAGTCAAGGTGACATTCAGGACCAGTAACAAACATGTTGTTTTGAATGTTAAATGGCTATATAAGCACGTTCTTAACTTTACACATTTTTTAAAACTTTTTTTTTTTTTTTTACATTCACATCTGCAAAACTCTGTAACAACACAAAAATGCAGGCTATTAATGCTGTACAGCATGGCTTTTTAAACTGGGCAACTTTTCACAGCAATATTATGAAATATTATAACAATTTAAATGTATATTTGCATATATTTTACAACGTAATTTATTTCTGTGATGTAAAGCTGAATTTTCAGCGTCATTAGCCTACTCCAGTCTTCAGTGTCACATGATCCTTCAGAAATCACTCTAATATGCTGATTTGCTCAAGAAATGTATTTTAAGGACAATAGACTATCCTCTAACTGTAAAGGGCTTCCATCAGCAGCCTTTACCTTAAACCGGATGCGATGATGCAAGGAGACGAATTAATGGAACGTCACTTTTATTTTCGAAAACGACGCTTGGTTTCGGGATTGACTGAACATGATAAAGCACTCCTCCTTCTGCGTGACGCGTCTGTGTGTATAAAACACAAGAGAAACACCAAACCGCTGGAAACTACCAAGCAGTGGAACAGCTTCAGGACCTGAAATCATGGCAGCGATGCAGGGGTAAGATGATGGAATTATTATCATTATTATAAAATATAGGCTGTGTCTCAAAACCAAGACACGTTTTCACAAGCCGCTGAACGAAGCGCAAGAAGTAGAGCTTTGAACGTGACGCGCCGCATTAAAAACGCGTCATTAGCCTACTCCAGTCTTCAGTGTCACATGATCCTTCAGAAATCACTCTAATATGCTGATTTGCTCAAGAAATGTATTTTAAGGACAATAGACTATCCTCTAACTGTAAAGGGCTTCCATCAGCAGCCTTTACCTTAAACCGGATGCGATGATGCAAGGAGACGAATTAATGGAACGTCACTTTTATTTTCGAAAACGACGCTTGGTTTCGGGATTGACTGAACATGATAAAGCACTCCTCCTTCTGCGTGACGCGTCTGTGTGTATAAAACACCAGAGAAACACCAAACCGCTGGAAACTACCAAGCAGTGGAACAGCTTCAGGACCTGAAATCATGGCAGCGATGCAGGGGTAAGATGATGGAATTATTATCATTATTATAAAATATAGGCTGTGTCTCAAAACCAAGACACGTTTTCACAAGCCGCTGAACGAAGCGCAAGAAGTAGAGCTTTGAACGTGACGCGCCGCATTAAAAACGCGACGCGCCGTGTCGCTGTAAAAAACGAACAAACAAAGCATAAACGTCCGTTTGCTGCATGTGTACATAGTTCAACAATGGAAAACAATTCTGTGTTTTTGACTATGAGCTAATTCGGAAGTCCCATCTCGCTTATGATGCACAACTATGCATAGCTGACTAGGTTTTGAGATGCAGATGTGGTGGTAATTTAATCTTGCATCAATATTAAAATAGATTTTTTTATTATTATTTATTAAAAAAAAACTCTTAAACTGTAAAAACATGATCATGAATGTAAAATTTATGTAAGAAAAAAAGTTTTTGGTGCATATGACAGTGTATGATGACGTCATCTGTCTGATGGATCTATTTGAAACCCATTGTTTTGTTTTTTCTCAAGAAGTGCAATCGGCAAACCTCAGTTTGGCCCATGGCTCATAGAGCAGGTGGAAAGTGGGAAATATGAGGGATTGTGCATGATAGGCAATGACATATTTCGGATCCCCTGGAAACACAACTCACGAAGAGACCTTGGGGACGGCGATGTTAAAATATTTAAGGTAACTTCATCCTTGCGTCACAATCATCTTTGGCATGGTTTCACTTCTGCATGAATGATTCATGCCGGATATAGCTGGAGGAGATCTTCAAAGAGGGCGGGATTCCCAAAAGGAGGGCCTAACCATTGAGTGGAAGCCCCGCCCCTTTTGACCTTAAAGTTTGATGTTGCATGCCATTCACACCTGATGCATCAATGCATTTTAATTATACTAACTTGAAATATACATGGACTTTGTTGCAATTTTGGTGTTTTACAGGCATGGGCTGTGGTCAGTGGGAAGATCAACGAGCACCATAACGACAAAGCGAAATGGAAGACGAATTTCCGTTGTGCACTTCATAGTCTAAAAAACTTCGAGATGTTAGAGGATCACTCCAAAGATCCGGAGGACCAACACAAAGTCTATCGCATAATCCGTCCTCAAAGTGAGTTAAACTGCTCAATCTGCACTTGTCATGGAAAAATGAGTTGATTATAAAGCCCTGGCTAATCTCGTTCTTCAGATCACCAAGAGATCCAGAGTGTAGAGCCAGATCAACTTCCATTCATTCCTGATCTCTACAGTGCAGCTAATTACATGTCTGATGAAATGGAGGTAAGGCCCAGATTTATGATTGGCTGTTGACATGATCATATGTATTTAGTAAAAAGAATTATAATTTTTTTTAAATATAATTTTTTTTTTTAAATATTAAGTTATAATAATAAATATATATAATGTCTAATGCAGCAGGAATTGCTCAGCCAGGTGGAGACAATGGATCTAAATCATCAACACGCAGGTATAGAATCACTATGATGGCTATATTTAGGGTTAGCGATTCAAACAAACCATGATTTTGCAACCAACATCTTAAGGTGTGGTCACATTTACTGTTGCCCTGTGAATTTTCGTAGGTTAAATCCAGTGGTTTCACTAAGAATCCGCACTATCCTTACGCATCGTCAGCTGAAACAAAAAAAAAGTTTGTTAAAGTGATTCCAATAATATCATTTCTTTGTGACGATATTGTTATAGTTGTGGTGTCACCTTTACTATTCTTTTACATTTAAAATGATTTTTAAGACTATATCTTTATTATTATCATTATAGTATTAATACTTTTTTAAAAAATTGTGGGGGAAATCCAGTCATTTTGGAATCCGTACAATCGAATCAATTAGGAATCCGCAGAATTGAGAATTTTGCGCGAGGGCGGAAATGTTCCTACTTATTTTTTACTATTCTTTTAAATTTAGAACAGTTCTTAAAACTGTATTATTATATCATCAATATTTCAGATATTTGCATCATTCAATCCCCACCATCAAGAATTTTGCGCAAAGGTGAAAAAGTTCCTAAGCTTCATCAGCTGAAAACAAAATTGTTATTAAAATGATTCCAATAATATCGTTCCTCTGTGACGGACGGTATTGTTGTGGTGTCACCTACTATTCTTTTAAATTTAGAATGATTTTTAAAACTACTTCGTTATAGAAATATTAAAAATGTTCGTGGTTGAAATCCAGTCATTTCGCTATGAATCCACACAATCTGGAATTTTCAAAAAAGTTCCTACGCGCCATTAGCTGAAAAAAAAAAAAACCCAATAATTATTCCAATAATACCGTTCCTCTGTGACAGTATTGTTATAGTAGTGGTGTCACCTCTACTATTCTTTTAAATGTAGAATAATTTTTAAAATGATATCACTTTATCGTAATAGTGCTAATATATATTTTTTTTAAATTGCAGGGGAAACCCAGTTGTTTCAATAGGAATCTGTGCGTTCGCTTGTGTTGAAGTTCACGCGAATTCGTTGACCAACAAAAAGCTGCTTGCTTTGAAAGTTGAAAGCTTTTTTTGTTGTGTGTGCCTTTTTTAACGTGACCACACCTTTCAAATCCACACAGGAACCAAAGTACCCATATGGCAGCACTCTAAAAACCATAACCAACCAGAAAACTTTAGCAACACCATGGCAACTAGCCATAACACTCTGCACATGCAAACGCCACTCAAATTACACAACATTATATTAACAAGTTTTGTTCAACAGCAGGAAGAGAGATAGATGGATTGGCTCTTGTTTTGGCATATTCGCAATATACCAATATACAATATCATTTCTATTCACAGAATCCCAACCATGGGAAACCTGTTCCCAACAAATCATTCCGACCACCTCAAGCAACTACTATGAGACTCCCTACTCAGATGTTCAGTCCTTTCAGAATAACACACCTCTCCAAGACCAGCAACTCTACACTACAGGTAACAAAGTTGTTGTTTTTTTGGCCATAACATATGGAAAAAAAATAGCGCAGACACTGGACAAAGAAGCTTTCTAGAGTGCGTCGCACATGCTATCAAATGGCTTCCAATACTTTGAAAGGCTACACATTTGACTGTATGCATACGCATATAAACACATATAAAAACGAAGAATACTTCTGACATAACAATCAGAAGGCCGTAAGCAGATTGTACGAAAACATTCAAATGATTTCATAAACCTGCCACAAATTCGCTAAAACATGAAATAGTGACGAATAGCCATGCAAAGGTTTTGGTTGTATTTGAAACACTGACGTTGTCTGTATCGAGAATATTGCATATGTAATGTGGCATTTCTAAAGGCTGTATCATTCTCACATCAAGAACGATAACTATAACGATATCTATATTAGCGTCCACATCGACACCTAATAACATTGTTTAAATTAAGCATGCACTGCAGTTTTGTTGTATACCTCTTTAATGCTCAAGCTCTTTAGTTGGATGGATTCTGATTGGCTGTCATTGTTTTTATTGTTCATAAGCTGGAAAAGCTGTGAAAAAAAGATTCCAATGATATTGTTCCTCTGTGCCGTTATCGTTATAGTTGTAGCGTGGACTGTGCCTTTCTTTTACATTTTGAATGATTTTTAAAACTATGTCCTAAAATGTTACTTCTAGTGCAGCAATTGAACCTTCCAGCTCTCTGTGACCTGGAGATCTCGATCAACTACAGAAGAACAGAAGTTTTGAAAACTCGCCTGTGTTCACCACTCGTTCAGTTTCACTACCAGTGCGACCCATCTGAGCTGAGAGGACAGCCAATCCGCTTCCCATCCACTGAGGGTCTGATCGACCAAAAACAGATCCAGTTCACTAAACGCATACTGGACAGCATTCAGAGAGGCCTGCAGCTGGAGGTAAACCAATATGGCATCTACGGCTTCCGTCAGGACAAGTGTAAAGTCTTCGTCAGCACCAGTGACCCGTCTGAGATCCAGAACCCAGAGCCTAGAAAACTGCATCAGAACACCAGAGAGCTTCTGCTCAGCTTTGATAAGTACATAAGAGGTATGAATGATGAGAAAGGAATCATTTTTGACATACAGGAAGTGACATCATTGGGCCCTTTTCTACACCATGGCAAAAAGACAATTAAAAAAAAAACATTTTCTTCAATTTTTCACAAATTGCAGCATCCTTCAACCCTGTTACCATAGTAAATTAATTTATGGAAAATACATTAATCACTAACTAAAAAAGCATTTGGTCCCAAACTAGCTAACACCTTCTGAGTGACAGATTTATTTATGGGAAAGCACTGTATGCAACCCTGTTACTCAATTTGGCATTATTTTGAAATTAATTTTATATGATAAAATATTAAATGTATAATACAATCATTTAAAATAACTGTTAAACACTTCCTTTCACTGACAATTTGTCC